TACAGGGTGGGGGATGGGGCAGGACAGCGCTTTAAAGGGTGGGGGAGGGGCTGGACAGAGTGCTTAATGTGGGGGGCAGGACAGCGCTTTAACGGGTGGGGGAGGGGGCTGCATAGAGCGCGTTAAAGGGCTGGGTAGAGTGCTTAATGGGTGGGGGGACAGGACGGAGCGCTTGAAGGACTGAGAAGCAGGGAGCTGTGCCCAGGATCGCTTGCAGGGCAGAGGTGCGGTAGGCAGCCGGGCTCAGTGGCGCCCAGGATCACCTGCAGGGTGGAGGTGCGGTAGGCAGCCGGGCTCTTGTCACTGTGGTTGTCAAGAAACGAGCACACGTACAAAGCCGAGGTGCACACTGGGGGTGGCTGGCGACTTGGCTTTAGGCTTGCTGGAGCGTTGCTCGGACCCCCTGACCCTTGCTGCCTCCTGGCCTGCCTGACCCAAGGGGCTGCTGGACGCACTGAGGGAGGTTGTGGGCCGAGGCTCACCCAGAAACTAGAAGCCTTCTTTGAGAAGGGAGGCCAGTAAAGACGTAGCAACAGATTTCTTGGGAGAAATCGCATGGAAACAGGGAAGGGAGTGAGGTTCGCAGGTTCGTGTGGAGGGAAGCTGTCGGATCACTTCGGCCAGCACTCGCTGCATCCTGAGCAAGTTGAGGGAGCCTGTGGGTGCTGTCCGGTAAAACTGCCCAGAAACCAGCGAAGGAGTGAAGTGGAAGACAGTCGTCCCGGTTCTCCCCAGCCAGATCCTTCCTGGGCTGGTGGATGTGTGACACGGGATACCAGGCAAGATGGACCTATGGTCTGATCCAGTAAATAGCAGTTCTTACGTTCTTCAGTCTGGGGGTTTGGGAGAAAGTGAACACAAGTCATCTGCTGAATTTTCTTTTTCAACTCAGCTAAGGCATGAAATGGGTAAAGAATCCTATTTTCTTATTGTAGCTTGGTATGTGCCATGTCTAGCTGCACATGAGACCCTCCAGGAATTATGTAGGAAGGAGAATCTCACATGTAAATCCATTGGAATCGCCAACAGGAATCTAAAGAGTTATGAGGTGGAATATTTGTGTGGCTACAAGGTAGAAGAGGTAAGATAAATGTCTGGTCTTATTTAGCAATTTGATGAATGCATCAGTAGCAATTTGGAAGGGGAAAGAGAGTTTTCCCTAAGGTGGACAGTAGTAGGTGAGGACAGGCCTCTGGTCAGGCACCTATTGATATTGAACTAAAACCCTAATGGTGTTTTTTGAGCTTCTGAAGTTGTATGGAAGGAAGGTTCTGCTTTTCATAATGGAACATGACATGATTGAAATGAAAGCTCTCTTGTTGATTTTATTTTATTCACAAGTAAAGGACCATGACTTGTTGGTACCATAGTCACTTTGAACAGCTAGGGCCAGCTGCTGTACCTGGATCAGCATGGCCAGAGCACTGCTGAAGTCACTGAGGAAACTTGCGGTTACAAGAGCCTGCTTATGTGACTCCAGTTTCAGGATCTGGCCCATTTTAAAACAATTTAAAGTTCTTATGTTATATACAACCCAAGTTCATGAGACTTAAGTGTTTTGGACATATCATTCCTTTAGGATGATGTATGTAACTATGACAAATAGTGCTGTTTGAGGGTTGTTTGGTAAGTTAAGACTTATTTTGTTCTTTTGTGATTTGACTTTATTCCATTCATGTACCAAAGTTAGTAAATATAACCTTTACTAGAGCTGCTTTAGCAAATTAACCCTGTACTGGTTTCGTGGAAATAGTTTTTAGTTTGTTTTCTTTTTTCCCCAGCTGTATAGTTATTTTTGTGCCTCACTTGCAATGATAGAGTACATGGCATTTACCTTGTATGAAATGCATGATTTTTCCATTGCTGATTAGCATCATGTTTCTATGCATTTATGCCACCTCCTTAACTTTGTGTTTAATCTTATGTACTATGGATGTGATAGTGAAGTATTTGCGTCACTGAACAAGCCCACTTTTTAATTTTTTTAAGTATTGAATTTTGCTGAGCCGTTAGAAGTGTTATGTCTAAACTTGTATTATTCTGTATTTCAAGGGCACAGAATACTACCTTGTGAAGTGGAAAGGATGGCCAGAATCCACAAATACCTGGGAACCTTTGGAAAATCTTAAATGCCCATTGCTCCTCCAAAACTTTCATAATGATCAGAATGAATATTTATCTCGAGCAAAGCAAGGGAAGGCACTAATAACGAGAAAACATGGCAAGGCTTTGAAACCTGCAGTAGTAGATTACATTGTAAAGAAAGCTAAACAAAGAGTAGCTCTACAGAGATGGAAAGAAGAGCTCAACAGGAAGAAGAACCATAAAGGGATGATTCTTGTAGAAAACACTGTGGATCTTGAGGGTCCTCCTTTAGACTTTTACTACATTAATGAATATAAGCCTGCTCCAGGAATAAATGTGATCAATGGAATCACAACTGGCTGTGAATGCTCTGATTGCCCTGCTGAGAAATGTTGTCCCAAGGAGGCTGGATGTCTTTTGGCTTACAATAAATATAGGCAGTTAAAAATCCAACCGGGTTTGCCCATCTATGAGTGCAACTCATTCTGTAGATGTGGTCCTGATTGTCCTAACAGGATAGTACAGAAAGGCACACCTTACTCTCTTTGCATCTTCAGAACTAACAATGGCCGTGGCTGGGGAGTAAAAACCCTCCAGAAAATTAAAACAAACAGTTTTGTGATGGAATATGTTGGAGAGGTATGTATTTATCTCATGTAGGTGAATTATGGAGTAAAAGTGTTATTATTTCAGAAGAGGGACTTTTTAATAATTGTTTTTTTAATTGTTTTGCTCTTCATGATTCTGCCATATAGTAAGTCAGTATGCTTTAACAGTTAAAGGAATACACTGAAAAAATGTCAGTCGGGAATAAATTGCTGGTATACTGTGTAGCCACACCAAAGCAATGCAGAGAGACTGAAATAAGCGCAGTCTTGGCCCTCGGTTTTGTTAAGGCATGACCCTTTGAGCTAGGTCCTAACTAATCGGTATGTCTCAAACTCAACCCTTCCTTTCTTTTCTCCAAGCCAGATTCCTTGTCTCTATTCCGATCATCTGTTTCGTGAATACAGAAATCTTCAACTGTTCTTTTGGTTATGATCTTACCCCAGTCTAAATTACTGTTATCTTTGTTACCAGTTACATTGATCACATCTACTCTTCAGGTTTAGGCATGGGGAAAAAGGGATTGATTTTGTTTTAGGACATATTAGTCTTGGTTGTTACCAGTTAAGGCAAGATCCTTAACTGGTAACAACCAGTTAAAACATTTTTTGTTAATGTCTTATTTTCATTAAGCAAAAAATCCCTTTTTAAAATTATGTTAATTTGTTCTTTATCATGTGTCAAGGAGCCTGCTTTTCTAATCTAGACATGACCCTTGAGTCATTGCACTGGCTTCCTACTGCATTGCTTATGAAGTTCAGCTACTAGTGCTTGGTTGGGAACCTTTCTCGTTCAGTTTCTGATTACGGCTCTGACCTGGTGTCTTCACATTTCTCCCACAGTCTTTGCTCTGTTATTGACAACGGTGTTGGTATTAACTAAAAACAGTATTGTGAGGATTTACTGGAATTCTTAGAAAGAGGTAGCTAAGATATAGCTAGTAGCCTCAGAGTTTTACAGTTGATCTTTGTTTAGTTTTGTGTTCTGTCCTGTAGAAAGCAATGGTGCATCATTTATTTGTAAATATATGTTCAAGAAACCGTCCGATGTTTTGTTGCTGGAGGAGAAATGCCATCGCTGTGTACTAACAGGGCATTGATGAAGCTTTGTACAATTGGCATTTAATCAACCGAACTCGATCAATGGACTGTAGTGTTCCTTATTCCTTAGAAACGTAGTAACCCTCTTATACATAGAGGGTGAGTAAGTCTAGTTTTGGTCTGTTCATGTTCTGTTCAAGAACATGTAATTTATTTCCAACTTTGTCATTATCTTTTAGTTTAGTAATACTTAATAATATGATGCAGGTTTCTTTTTTTAGGTCATTACGAGCGAGGAAGCAGAGAGACGAGGGCAACTGTATGACAACCAAGGGAATACGTATTTGTTTGATCTGGACTATGACTCGGATGAATTTACAGTAGATGCAGCTCGATATGGAAATGTGTCCCATTTTGTGAATCACAGCGTAAGCATTTTTTTTGTGTATTTAAAAACTTGGGGAATTGTCCTGGTTGAATCAAGACTCCCTCTCCTATTTTTTTTATTATTATACATGTCTTTCATGGAATAACTGTCTAACATGAACTCTGCCCCATTGCTTAAATGTTGACCCTCACACATTTCCCAAACTGAGCGTTCATAGAATGCATTAATGTTTGCACAGTAGGGTTTCAGGAACTTGAAGCTTTCCAGGAATAAGTGAAGTCACTTTGTTCAGTGGTGTTTTAAGTTTAATTTAAATACATTTTTTCATCAAACTGTGAATTTGATATCCCAAAATAGGTGGGTTTTTTCCTGAGGGGAAAGTGAGGGGTCTCTCACTTTCCTTCCATAAACTCACAAGGTCCTGAATTACATCTAGCAGGGGTTTAGGTTGTAGCAGTGTTGGTCTAAGGACATAGGCAGACAAGGTTCCTTGGGTGAATTTGATATCTTTTATTAGACCAACCCAAATGGTTGGAGAATATTTATTAAGCAAGCTTTCGGGTCCAAAAACCCTTCGTCAGGCTAAGGAAGTTTCAGCAGTTGGCGTGTGCTCACACACCAACTGCTGAAACTTCCTTAGCCTGACGAAGGGTTTTTGGACCCGAAAGCTTGCTTAATAAATATTCTCCAACCATTTGGGTTGGTCTAATAAAAGATATCAAATTCACCCAAAGAACCTTGTCTGAATTACATCTCTGCTTTTTTCTTTGGATTTTGCAAAAAATATATTCTGTCTAGTTATACAGCAAAACACAATTGCATAGAATGAAATACATGTTCATGAACTGCTCAGAGCAAAATTCTATGTGACATAATATTAAGTACCGTAGAGTTGAGTCATAATTATCCTCTTGTGTACAAAAGTGTAGGCAACATTGTAGAGTCTTTTCATCAAGTAAATCAGATCACAAGAGAGGGAACTTAACAGGAATTAAATTTTCTCAATCTGCTTAAGTATGACAGGTGAGTTTTCATTGTTTCTTATCCATTTGAGGATCAGGGCTAAGAAAAGGTGGTAGAAACTATGGTGATGCGTGGTAGGTGCATGAGGGTGCGTGTGCACTCCGTCAGGCCACGCTGCCTGTTTAGGTGACAGGCAGGAGGGACTTCCAGAAGCAGCGTGGGCCGCTTTTTGGTGAGTGTGATAGGCCTCTGGGGAAAGGGGCACCGCCCTCCCCTCTCCTGTTGGTGAGATCAGCTGCAGGGGAACGCCCTCCCTCAGTCAGTGTGATCAGGTGACCCCCCACCCCCCCCACTCCCGGGTTGGGGCCCCCGGTCAGTGAGATGGGCCATGGGGGCCCCCCCCCGTTGCTGACTGATGAGTCAGGGATGGCATGTGCCCTACCTGACATAAGGCACCAGTCGTCCCTGGGTAGAAATGTGTCTCAGAGGTTTTCATTAATGTACAAAAATAACTTGATTTCTGGTCCTGACTCATGTTTAGATTCCTGTGCATGAGTAGACTCACAGACATGAATGGGGCTTGGCATGACATACAAGGGACTGGGATCATAATTTGCTTTTTTGATTGTGTTCAATACTAGTTTCTAGACAACAAAAACAAAGTTTTCTCTGCAGTTAGTTAATGGGTAACATTATATGGGAAATAAACCTACATAATCCTTGGCTGTTCATAAATAAGATGTGAACTGTTGATTTCTTTGAAACAGAGAAAAGGGGAGGAGTGTTTGCCTTGACACATTCTTCTGTGTGAGTTGTAAATTATGGAAAACAGGAAAGTTTTTCTCTTTCCTTGGTGTCTTTCCCATGCCACCTTATTGCTTTCACCCTCATTTTTACAGTCCGTGGAAAACTTACAAGTATGTTTAAAATATATATTTTTTTTCTTAAACTGAAAGTAGCTAAATCAGGGAAACCTAATTGAACTCAGAATCCTCCTGTGCATGGAAGTGTAATGAATTTTTAAAGTATCCCATAACTGCTGTTACTACAGCAAATTTAGTTTCTTTCTTAGGTATCTAAACAGTTGATATTTCGCGTCACGTTTTTGTATGCCTGTTGTGGAGAGGAGGAGTTTATAACTGTTTCTGGGTACTCTGCGCTTCTGGAACTAGGGTGGCTGAATTTAAGTGCCCGAACATAAACTTAGGAGCGTGACTTCAAACTGCTTTTGAACATAAAGGAGCAGGTGGTCTATCCAAAGATAAAAGGCAGGAGTAGAGCTTTAAAAAATGCATAGGTGATTTAGGAATTGAATCCATTGATTTCTGA